AGAATAATAAATAGTGAAACGGGCAAGATCAAACCGCGCAACTCGGATTTTAAATTGAATATTAACAATAATTTAACTCGATCTAATCAAAAAGTTGTTATGGCTTTTGAGAAACATTTTACTGATGTTCCTTTTTTGATAACAAAACCATTCAATTCCTCTTCAACTATCGCCGAATCATTGCTTAAACAAAATGTAATGGTTTCTTCAAATACTTTTAAATTCCATAGAGTATTGCCAAAAGATATCGTAAAATATTTTAAAACTATTGATGTTAAGAAAACGGCAGACTTATGGGGGATTTCCATTAAAGTTATTTTATCTATATTAGATACAATAGCACCTTATCTAGCCACTATATTTAATACATGCGTCTTATCTATTGTAATGTATGGCTAAGGCAATGTATACGCTATTACAACAAGGTTCCGTAAAGTGTACAGGCTCTCTCTATTACCAAGTTTAAATGTTTTGCTAAGCTGAAACTGTATAAAGAGAGTTATTATAATATAAATGAATACATGGCTGATAATAACCCCTGGGAATGAGGTGGTCGCTTCCAAGCAGTTACTAAAATAAATTTTGTAAACAGTTTATACAACCATTAATGTAAAATTTACTTTAAAAAAATTCTCTCTGGGTTTCTTGTTGGTTCTTCCCAGGACAGAGGTTTTTTTAAACCAGTGGTAAAGTAAAAAATGACTTTCAATAAGAATTACACATATGATCTATATTGAATAAAAAATAATTCTATTCTATTCAACTAAATACGCATTATTAAGGATAACTCAAAGACTACTGATCAGATTGTAATCAAATTTATATGGGTCCACATGAAAAGCACGAGCTTCCAAACAAACAATTATCAAAATGTTGGTTCACCTAGAAAAAAGTTTAGAGGTATCATACATAAAAAATACAGTCGAAATGACTGACCTACCTATTATGATAACTTTAATTACTTCTTCTTGTTAACAGATCCTTCAAAATCTTTTGTTGAATAGACTCGTAATATACATCTTTTCATACTTATATCAACTAAAGTTTTTAACTTTGTAAGATATGCCTATATTCATTACAGTGAGGAGAGAGGTTGGTGAGCGTTTAACCCATTCTTTTGCACGAGTAATGCTCCTTCATCACCTATAAGTGGTTCAGAATTTTAGCTCATTATACGCCAATCATCGATCAGCGCTTTTAGTTAGTTGAGCAGACCGTTACAAATGATGTTGGGTTTTTAAGAAGAAAGTAGTATGTCACGCTTATGTGTACTTATCTTATAAATGTCAGATGTAAAATAGTTTGACTAGCTACGGGAAAAAGAGTTGCAAGAAGTCTAATACGACCATCACCAATTCACAAGCCAAGCGCAATACAAACTAAGACATACAAAGAACTGGTTCAACTTACAGGTGACAAAAATATTAAATGTTGGTTTTTGTTTCTTTGATTTTTATTTTCGTCTTATTTATCTGATTTGTTCTTTTTTTGAGAAAATTCTAAAAACAAATTTAAAGAAATCTTTCATAATTTTTTTTATGTTTTCTCATTCTATATAAAGTTACTCTATTATTAATCCTTATCGATCCAATATTTTAATTTGATGTTTTGTTACTCTCTGGGTGCTCGATAAACAGTCTTATTAAAGACATAATATTTAATATTTTAACATATTCAAATATATTTTAAAAGTTTGTCAACTCCATCGTTTTCATTTTTTTTTAACATTTCAACTTTATTATTACGAGCGCTGTAGTCTTTTATATGCTAATGTAGTTTCGCATTTTCATATGTTAATATTTCATGACTGTACTCACTAAACTGTAAAAAAACAATAAGTCTAATTTTATTGTCTATGAACAATTAGATAGATAGGGCCATATAACCCATTAAAACAGAATATGTTAAGCACAATATATTCACTTTTATTGTTTGCTGTGACATGGTCGATTCAAGTTTGACGTCATCGAGTTATAGTTTCTTCAATGCTCCTGATTACTTGAGAATGTAATTTGAAGTTTGTTGATACATTTACATTCTTTAATAGTTTAAATTAAATATTATCAACATGATTCTTTCCTACTAGCGCATCTTCCTTCATAAAACAGAAACTAGTATTTTGATTTTAAAATGTTTTTTTTTTATATAGGATAGAGTGACAAGCGAGCACACAGTCCACCTGATGGTAAGTGGTTGCTGTGGCCCATAGACATCTACATCTATCCTCGTTTGCGAATCAAAATGCAGATGCGTTGTCACCCGTGAGACTAAGATGGAATGCCTCTTTCCCAGTAAAAAGGGTCTCCGGTTCTCTACACTCACCATACGAAACACAGCAGTGTTGAGCTGCTATTTTACGCTGGTATTCCGTGAGAGCGTGGTCCTTCCCCGGTCGAGCCGACCCACTCGTACTACAACTATACTACTAATATAGCTGCAGCATGGCTCTACCACGTATAAAAGTTAAAGATAAATATTACCCTTAGTAAATTTTACCTTTGTCAAATGATAAATTTATTTGTTAAAGATAAGAAAGTTCTTGCAATTAACTTAAATGCCGTACTTGTGTGAGCAGGATGTCTGAAATTAATATATTCATAATAAAACATACAGCTAAGACAAGGTCTAAAGACGGTTGAGATGAGGGCACAGCGATAAAGGGACAAGAGATTAATGCAACCCTCTTGACAGTTAAGGTACTACTACATGTAGCTCTTAATTGGGCTCGTAAGTTGATATATGTCATATTAAAACGTCACAATGAAATTATGAAATATTTCTTCAGATTAAAATAAAACAAAGAAAAAATAATAAAGCAAAATGATAACTTTATATACCGGTATTCTAATCAAATAAATTCACTGAATAAAATATATTATTTATAAAATTATTTTCAGTTATTTAAATATTTTCTTAATTTCAGTAATAAGCCGTGTTTACTTACGAAATACCATTTAAAATATAAACGTGTCACTGCCATTAATACTATTATAATAATCATCAAAATTCCGCTGCTGAACATAGTCCTCACCCATGGATTAACTCACAGAAAAAATATTTGCCATAGTTGCCACGGTTGACAAGAGGGTTGGAAGTATTTTTAGCTTATATTAAAATGTTATCAGGAAAATGCTGGGGCCCAAGTGCTGGTGGTCTCTTGGTTCGTTTTTCCTTTGACGCGTCTTAGGACACATTCAGGATAATATAGGGTATTGGATATTATCTTCATCATTACTACTCGGTTACCCATTGAAAAATGGTCTTTAAAACGTTTTTAATAAACATAAAATTGTATAATATTTAGAAGCAAAATATATTTTGGACCATGCGAGTACAACATGCAAACCAAAAGAAAAATCATATTATTAAATAACCCCGAATGTGTTTAAACACAGTATTCATGCTGTTTCTCAAAAAACATTAAATATGAATTTGTACCTTAAATCAGTTTTCCATTTTTTCCACTGGTCCCCACTCATAAGTTTGGATGAAACAATAAGTTATTTTAAAATGTATTTAATAATCATTTTAACAATAAGCAATTCGACAATCAGCAGTTAATTATATGACAATAAATTGGCAAAAACATCCAAGCAATTGTTTATTCATCACACTCAAGCAAAGGCTTCCAAATTGGGGGTGCGCCTCCCATGAGGGGCGCAGAGACCCGCAATGGGGGGTGTGTGTCAACTAAGTAAGATGCGTGAATCAAATATTAGGACTAAAACGTTTTAATTCCACGGAGCGAACGCACACGAATAACGTAGTAAATAGGTATCTATCGAATTCTCACCCTTATAATTGTTAAATAAAATTAATTCGAAATCATACTATGTAAACTTACAAACTATTACTGACGCCGAGTTTGTCTAATAAACAGTATTGCACTAACATTTCTTGTTCCGGTTGGAAAGGTATGTAGGTGTTGGAAAAGTTACAGGCACATGAGACGTTCTTCACGTCCTTCTTATCTCAAAGCAGATGTCGGGTGCAATGCGATGCGACTTGGGTATTTTATTACACAAGTATGGGAAGGCCTAAATCGTATTGCTGTTGTTTTACGCAGATGATAGCGCTTAACATCAGGTGGGCAATCATCATCAGGTGCTCGTCCCGTCACTTAACTCTTATAAAATAAAACCAATACTTTCGTAGGAAACACATAACCTTGGGAGACCCTGTCGTAAGGTACACTGACAGATCACTTTGTGGATATATTATAGTGGATTTGAAGCAATAACTAAGTTACGCGCTCCAACATTAATTCATTGAATTGAACAAGTGAATTGCATTTTCCTGTCACAACTAGTAACTACAAATATATGTAAGGTTTTTGCTTGTGAAAATTGGAGTTCATACGTAATGTCGCGTATCAATTGCGGGTATTTAATATGACTTAATTCAGCTGCATTACTGAAATATTTTAATAACAAATTTATTAAGCCATATTATCTAAAATCGGAGGGAGCATATCTTCAAATCGACAACTTTGCTTTGCTATTTATAAGCTAAATTTACTTTAACACGTGAGCTTCATTGATTCACTAATCACACCCTATCGCAAGTCCACTGCTCAACATAGGAACACGTTCAATAATCGTTCTTCAGTTAATAAAGTGAAATAAAGTGAACAAAGTGCAATATTTCCAAAATCATAAGCATATTTTATAAAAAAAATTGTATGTCTGAGAGAGATTTAATGTTTGGTAGAAATTCTTAAATCTTTTATGCAAACTTATGGTAATTAATATTATATATAATAGTGTTTTGTATGGTGGGTGTAAAAAAAACGGACACACTTTTTACTGGAAACGAGGCATTCCATCTTAGTCCTCAAGGGTGACAACGTATTTGCATTTTGATACTTAATCGAGGATAGATGTATGTCTATGAGCCAGAGCATCCTTTTATCAGTTGGTCTGTGTGTTCGTTTGTCACCCTAATTCTATAAATAATTAAACTAATAAGGGGAAAATTATTACATGTGTATTTGAACATACCTAGCCTTGTGTGAGCGTCGTGAGCGCGAGGAGAGGTCGAGCTCGCTGGCGGCGGAGCACGCAGTGCCAGCATGCAGCGAGCCTCGCGACCCGCCCAGCCGCCGCGAACTCAGCCGGCACGTCATCATTTCTGACAAAAAATGTAGAGTAATAACCCTTTATAATGATTTATTACACATACGCGAACATTATACATTGAAATAAACTACACTGTTGCTTGATACGGTAGAATTTTGAAAGTAAGTGAAATTACGGATGCTTAGATCATCATCTTTAAAAACTAAGGCTTTCCTTACTTTCTTACTCTGGAAGTTATTCGTGGAGGATAAATAAAATATGATATTTGGTACCTGCACTTACACCTTACACCTACAAGGACAAACATCCAGACCCGAAACAATTATTTATAGGCCATACAAATATTTGTTCCATGCGGGATTAGAACCCGCGGCCCTTAGCGCAGTAACTCATTGCTAAGCCACTGCGCCACGGAGCCGTCAAGTTTAATTGTTTATTGCTTTCTAACTGTGCTTTTTATACATAATATTTCTGAAATTGTTAACTCTCACTTGGTAAAATTGGTAGAAACTTTTACTTTGTGGTTTTGAACACCTACATTTCAAACATCTACACAATACTTAGACTAAGTAAAAGAACTAAAATTGTCATATAGTAGTTATAACTAACCCCATTCCTCATGTAATAGTTATAACTAAGAAATCTGGCCGTGTTTTTCACCAGCGACGTCAACGAGTAGCAGAAACAGTACCTTTAGCAAACTTTACCGCAAGTAGATTCCACAGATTGATAGCATATGAGTACCTATCTTTACTCATGTGGCTACAAAATCGTATCTACAAAAAATACTATAGAATATAGTCATCTCTCAAAAAGTCATACTTGCGCCTTTTTAGTTTATCCGACTCTGAAACTGCTACCTTAAACGAAGGACTCTGTAGAAGAGAGGTGACCAAAGCTTCTACGCACCTTTCAAAAAAGAGTTTAAGTCTCTCCCAAGGAACAAAATTTATACCGTCGACTATCCTGCCATTGTCTAAAAATATTGCTCAAGGCTCTAAAACCAAGGAAGAATATTATATTATAGAGAAAAGAGCTACAGGGATAATATCGTTAGGAGAACCTTTACGGGATAACTGGCACAGCCAGCAGCTTTAAAGTTTTCCATAGGACAAAGAATAATCAGCAATATTAGAGTTGGTAAAAAATTACTTCGCGTACATCCACTCGATAAAATAAAATGATGTTCGTGGCTTACTTAGCGGTCAGCCACCGCAGAGTCTAGATTACCTGAAGATGCCTCGTGTAGAGGTGAAACACGTGTCGTATTTTTGTCAGTGGTGTGTCTTTCCTAGTGTGTGGTGTTGGGAGTAGTGGTGCTGGGATTAGTGGTGACGGTGATAGTGCACGCAATTGAGGAAGGGCGGGAGGTGCTCTTCAAACTAGGTAAGATACATCATTTTATTTTATCGAGCGGATGTACGCGAAGTAATTTTTTACCAACTTTAATATAATGGACTTCCGCAAAGTAACGCCTGGTTCTATTAATTAATTATAATAAATTAATATTATAATCTGCAGTAATTTATTGTTCTTTATGCAAAACTCTTGGTTATCTTGTTCACAATCATCATTATAGCATAACAACTGCTGAACATATATAGGCCTCCCACTGAGAATGCTCCATAGAGGGGATATTTGAAATAGTTGCAAAGCTTATATTATTTTGAGTTATTATCAGGAAAATTATGTTTATAACGTAAATTTCTATATGTTTTAAACGCTTTGCCAATATACGCTAATGCGCAACAAAGGAAATTAAATAATAAGCACAATAAATGTTCCATCTTGCAAAAGGAACAAAATGAATAAATCGATTGAAGTCTATTGTTATAGACCTGCCTTATTAAGCCGTCGACTACAATTTTGCTTTATATAAAGCTCACTCTCCTAAAAGTACCGATCTAAATTGCCAGACTGAAAGTAGCCCTAACAGATCGTTTTGGCAAACAAAAGAATAAAAATGGAATATTATTATAAAAGAATAGGAGGAATTATGAAATCAATTAATTGTTTATTTTATAACATTCCAACTAGATTGAAATCTATGATTGAAGCTAATTAACTATAAAAACTTGCTACTGTAAAAAACAAGGATTTACTTCAAGGCTAGTTTTACAAAAATATTATTCATATAGATTATGTTCATATACAATGAAACTGTAACGAAGTAATTTTCTTACACTGAATTGATTAAAAAAATAATCTGGACCTAATAAGTATATATACAGTTACTAAATACTTTATTAAATGATTATGTTCCTTCTCATTTTTATGTATGACTATGTACAATGTTGTGAAGTGGTTTCTTAAGAAAACCTTCAAAAATATTTAACTACGAGTTACACGAGTATTTAGCTACTGGGTGTTATAGTACGTTAAATTTCTTGGAAATTTTATGTAAGGTTTTTAATGACGGGAGGAACCGGAAACAAGAGAAATTTATAGAATAAGTGTGACAAACGAGCACACAGTCCACCTGGTGGTAAGAAGATGACGTGGCACATAGACATCTACATTTATTCTCGATTAAGAATCAAAATGCAGATGCGTTGTCACCCCTGAGGTGCAATATGGAAAGCCTCGTTTCCAGTAAAAAGAATATCCGGTTCTTTAAACTCACCATACGAAACTCAGCAGTGTTAAGCTGCTATTTTACGCTGGTATTCTCTGAGAGCGTGGTCCTTCCCCGGTCGAGCTGATCCATTCGTGCTACAACGATAGTATAGCTTCAGCGTGGCTCTAACACGTATACAAGGCGTCTTTAGCAAGATGTACCGTCCCACACGGGCTCGGAAGAGCGAGACCTTTGAGGCCTTCCCGTCTCTAGTTATTACTAGCCGGGAAAGCTCTAGAAATAACTAGAAATAACTGTCCCAGCCACCGGCCAATTTTTTTAAGCGGTGAATCGTAATACTGATAATCCTTTCAATCTGCAACTTCACACTACCGCATCAGCGGTGCCGATGCAGATCCGCTACAGTATAGGACAAGTGGCGCATATTCTTTTCCTATGCGACTTCACCTCGGCTGCAGAGGGCAGGGGGAGACACAACATTGATTCATATAAGTTGAATTGCCAAGTTGTCTGAAATCTTGACATAAACTATATCAACTTAATCTCTATTCGTTATGATGCCACATCGAAATCAGAGGTTTCATACGACTTGTTTTCAAATATTTGAATATTTGTATTTAAATAAATACTCGAGATACTATTTTACTTGAAGTAAATCCTATACGACAAACAATTATGAGCGTTCATTGCAGTGGTTAGATCTAGGTGTATAAGCCAATCAGTTACCCAAACGAACGATTAGCTAGAAGAAGGTTATGATGACATTTTGCTAGTCTACCGTTGATATTATTCACTTACCTTCTTGCCATCTGATGCCACAATTACTGCTGACCGATATTTTTAAAAATTTTAAATTATGGTGGAGAAGCTGACACTAAAACAACCCAGATAAGTGAACTGCCCTTTACCACAGCTTGTTCATGATAACGACTGGCTACATGCACAACAGACGTTGGTAAAATAGCAGAGCTAAAGCAAGAAATCCTTTTTCATTACAATCCCAAGGAAGCAGTAAAGAATACCTTAAAATAGTTCATCGATTAGCGTGCAACAGTCTTCTATTTTCTTTCTATATATTAAATGAGACTGTATTTTATATGCCCACGTACAATGAGACTTATAATAAAAAAAGCCGAATTATAAGAACTAAAAATAAAAAAATATTTTAGTACATCACATAATAGCTTCAAAAGTAGGTGTTAAGACATAGTGTATATAAGTCCAACTTCAGAAGCTATTACATACGTGGAAAATATTTTCTTCTTTTTAATTCTTTGAAGTTCAGCTTTAAGTTTCTATTAAAAAACTACTTTTATGACCCTTTTCAGTTAAAGTTACAGCCTATATACGTCCCTTAGTTGGGTATAGGCCTTCTCTCATTTCTGAGAGGGCTTTAGGGCAAGAAATGTTCGACGCGCTGCCCCGTAAGTGGATTTAAGAATTTCATTCGTGATATAGGAATATAAAATATGTATGGGACCATTCCCGAAATATAACCTATTCAATAAAAAATCATTAAAATCGACTCGCAATGAAAATAAGAACATGAATTCGAATAAACAACCTGATTCTTTTTTTTTGAATACGGCTAAAAAGGCAATTTTATATTTGAAATTAAGCCTGTGCTTACTAGCACGGTGTCTGCTGCACACTAAGTAAAAGTTTTTAAATATGATCTTGTCATGTGTACATTATGACTTACTTTGACTTGAGAAAGTCTTCAGGATTCAATTATAAATTCACAAAAATACATTTAATAATTAGAATTGCAGATTAGTGTCTATAAAAACAGAAAATCGTCACAATTAAAATCTCAAGTTAAAAGTACACAAGTTTATTAAAATTAGATAAAACTTCATTTCTTCCTTTAAAAAAAAGGTTACCCCCACACTAGGATTATCTCCTGTATCGTGGAGGCAGTTTACAAACATAAATTGCACAAAGTCAAACATCCTGACCCGGAACAGTTATTTGTAAGCCATACAAATACTTGTTCCGTGCGGGATTCGAACCCGCAGCCCCAAGCGCTGGAACTCATTGCTAAGCCACTGCGCCACGGAGCCGCACAATAATTATTTATCGGACAATATGATTCACTGGTCTATATCTGAGGTAAAACGTCACTTGCTAAGTTTTATGTAAACATTCATACGTTGCACGTTGACTGTTTCATCCCGGGCAGGCAGTGGTTTTGGTAATTTTTAATGTCATGTATCGTCGCAGTGCGGAAAGCAAGCTATTGTTACGATCCCGCCTACTTAAATACGTTCGGCTTATTTACATGCGCAACAACCAACGAACAAATTTGATAAAGATTGAACGCCTAGAAGATAAGACTGATTACACAATAAATATATTCTTTACGTAAAGTATTTCACGAACATGTTTGCCATGTTTGCTACTATTAGATGTTTGTATTTGTTCCGTCGGTTTACATAAAGGACAAGTGAATAAATCATCTGCTATTTGCGC